AACTCAAAAGCTATTTTTTTTCAGAGCAGCATCTCTTAATGAGATGACTCAGACATAAAATTTCTCTGTGCTTTTTTAACTAAGATAAAAATGTATTCGGCTAAAGGTTCCTGAGTTCTGCATCTAACATAGAATTTATTTGGATTTTGTTAATAGTAGCCATTAAACATTTTTAGAGACGAGATAAAATGAGGAGTCACTATCACGGGAGGACACACTTATGATGACATTTGATAAAATAGATTTTATATACTAATTGAACATTCTACATCAAATCTGAAAAATTTCATAGGTTTTCTCCAATCCATCTTAAAAATAAATAACTCAGTAAACATTCCAGTGGTTTGGTGTTTTCTGGTGTCTGATATAAGTATTAGGAATAGCAGAAAAGAATTTGTCATTATGTAAATTCATGGGTAGAAAAATCATATTTAGTGTTGAGTAGCTCTTGAGATGTTTTTCTGCTTTGGACTCCAGAAAAACACAATCTTGACAATAGTCAAATCTTCAAAGAGGCTGTGTTGTTATTATTTAGAAATAGTCGCTATTCTCATTGACAACTTGCCTTAATTTATATATATTTGTAATTCTGAACAACTAAATATGAGCCAAAAAATGTTCCCACCTGACATTCCTTTCTTCACAGTTTACAAGAGTCAGTATAAAACAGGGAATGCAGAAGCCCTAGGGGTCGCCTGGGGTATCTTGATTCATTGGTTTTGCCTTTCTTATTCCTGGGCATCTCGCTGAAATATAATATGAGGTACATGAAAAACTTGCTTTCCTTTCCTGAAATGTGGAAGAATTGGGAAACCTGCCACTGTGAACATAGAACATTTTCAGGCAGACAAATTTTTGAGAAAAGAACACATGCATTTGAGATTTAGCAATTCACAGACAATGCAAAACTCTCTATGGATAACATTAGCTTTACTCTAATTTGAAGACCACTGTTTTAGTGGGTGTTTTGGTTAGAGGGAGCCTCTCTTCCCCAGATACAGTCAGCTGTAATGGTTCCAAGACCCATCATCCACTTAAGTGGCATTCATTCTCTCTTTCTCTCTCCCTGACTCTCTCTGTCTTCCTCCCTTCTACAGTCTCTCTCACACTCTCTCTTTCTCTCTCTCCTTCCCTCCTGACTTCCCTGTCTCTGTCTTTCCTTCCTTCTCTGCCTCCATACTCTCATCCTTCCCATGGTCTTCCTCCCCACCTCTCTCTTTCTCTCTCTTTCTCTTTCACTAACCACAAACACACTTCATCAGACCAAGGGAGTTGGGTGAGAAGTGGTCCATCAATAAAACATCTTGCCTTTGGAACTAGTCTTCCTGTAAGGTCTTGGAAAGAGCAGCTCATGTGACATGCCAATTTATGGTACTGTCCTATCAATCTCCACCAGTGAAACTAGGTCGTAACCTTCATCATCTCTCAACTGCTGTCATCAGAATCGATCCACAAAATAATGAAGAAGCAAGAGTACAGCTTCCCTGAGCTCATTTCACAAGGTCTAGGATGGATAAGCACCACAGGAGCCACAACCTCAGTCACTCTGTACTATTCTGGCTGGCCTTTCAAGGCCGATGAATGCCCCACCTACTGCCTGAGCCATGGCCTGCACATTTGCTGCTCCAGAATGATTGGCAGTCCTAATACAGGCATACCACAGAGATATTGTGGATTCTGCTCCAAACAACCAAAATAAAGCGAATATCACAATAAAGTGTGTCACATGAATTTTTTGGTTTCCCACCCCATATAGAAGTTATGTTTACACTATATTGAAGTCTATTATGAAGTTTGGAATAGCATTATGTCTAAAAAAACAATGTACATATCTTAGTTAAAAAATACTTTATTGCTACGAAATGGCAACCATCATCTAAGCCTTCAACAAGTCGTAATCTTTTTGCTGGTGGAGGGTCGTACCTCAAGCTTGACGTCTACTGACTGATCAGGGTGTTGGTTGCTGAAGGTTGGGGTGGTTACACCAATTTCTTAAAATAGGACAACAATAAAATTTGTCATGTCCACTGACTCTTCCTTTCATGAACGATTTCTCTGCAGCATGGGATGCTGTTTGATAGCATTTTACCCACAGTAGAACTTCCTTCAAAATTGGAGTCAGTCCTCTCAAATCTTGCCATTGCTTTATCAACTAAGTTTATCTAATATCCAAACTTCTTTCTTATCATTTCAACAATCTTCACAGCATCTTCACCAAGAATAGATTCTATCTCAAGAAACAACTTTCTTTGCTCGTCCATAAGGAGGAAGTCCTCATCCATGACAGATTCATCATGAGATAGCAGCAATTCAGTCACATCTTCAGGCTCCACTTCTGATTCTAGCTCCCTTTCTATTTCCACCATATCTGCAGTTACTTCCTCCACTGAAGTCTTGAACCCCTCAAAGTTATCCAGGAGGGTTGGAGTCAACTTCTTCCAAACTCCTCTTAATGTTGATTTAGTGACCTCTTCCCATGAATCATGGATGTTCTTAGTGGCATCTAGAATGGTGAATCCTTTCCAGAAGGTTTTCAATTTACTTTGCCCAGATCCATCAGAGGAATCACTCTCTATGGCAGCTATAGCCTTACAAAATGTATTTCTTAAAGAATAAGACTTGAAAGTTGAAATTAGTCCTTGATCCATGGGCTAAAAAACGGATATTATGTTAGCAGTCATGAAAACAAGAGTAGCATCATTGTACATCTCTATACAAGCTGTTGGGTGACCAGGCGCATTGTCAACGAGCAGCAATATTTTGAAAGAAACCTTTTTTTGAGTAGTAGGTCTTAAAATTGGGCTTAAAATGTTCAGTAAACCATGTTATAAACAGATGTGCTATCATCCAGGCTTTGATATTCCATTTACAGACCACAGGCAAAGCAGATTTAGAATAATTCTTAAGGGCCCTAGGATTTTTGGAACGGTAAATGAGCATTGGCTTCAACTTCAGTCACCAGCTGCATCAGCTTCTAACAATCGGGTCAGTCTCTCTTTTGAAGCAGAAGCCAGGCATTGACTTCTCCTCTCTAGCTATGCAAGTCCCAGATGGCAACTCTTCCAATAAAAGATTGTTTTCCTCTACCTTGAAAACCTGTGGCTTAGTGTAGCCACCTTCGTTAATTATCTTAGCTGGATCTTCTGGATAACTTGCTGCAGCTTCTACATCAGCACTTGCTGCTTCACCTGGCACTTTTATGTTATGGAGATGGCTTCTTTCCTTAAACCCCAGGAACCAACCTCTGTCAGTTTTAAACTTTTCTTCTGAAGCATCCTTACCTCTCTCAGTAATCACAGAATTCAGTAGGGCTAGGGCCTTGCTCTGGATTAGGATTTGGCTTAAAGGAACATGGTGGCTGCTTTGATCTTCTATCCAGACGACTAAAACTTTTTCTGTATGAGAAATAAGGCCATTTCAGAGGCATAATTAGTTAAAATAAGGTCTCATTGGCTTAAAGTGGGTCCTAATACAATGAATTATGTCCTAATAAGAAGAGAGGAGACACACAGAGAAGAAGGTCATTTAAAGACGGAGGCAGAGGCTATACACACAAGCCAAGGAGACTAGAAAACACCAGAAGCTGGAAGAGGCAAGAAATGATTCTTTCGTAGCGCTGTCAGAGGGAGTGTGGTCCTAATGACACCTTGATTTTAGAGTTCTGGCTTCCAGAAATGGGAGAGAATAAATTTCAGTCACATTAAGCCCCAGTTTTTGGTACTTTATTTCAGCAGTCCTGGGAATCTAGCACAGGGCTTGAGTGTGGAGGAGGAGTCCCCAGTAGTACTTGCCTCCCTACATTTCTGAATTATCTTAGTTAACTAAAGAAAGCATTCAGAAATTTTTACCAAAAAATACTTTCAAAGAAGTAAAGATAAGCATCCTGGGAATAACATTGTAAATCAAACTGAATATTGACCAAATATTCAATTTAATGGCCTGAATTTCAGGAATGATTCTTTTACATGAAGTACAATTACTTAACATGTGTTGTCAAGTGATCCTCCTAGTGTGGGGAGGACATTACTGGGTCATTTTCAAGGTCTGGAATGTCTTGTGCCCTAACACATAACTACTGGTACCGATGGGAGTAGAGTTTGTCAGGCTTGGGCAACTGGGAGACTGAAGGACGTGATGATAAATGCTCCTGGCTGTCCTGGGAAGACACGTGTTAAAGGCAGGATCATTTCCAGGAAGACAGAGGCAATGAGCTGGGAAAGCTATTGTGATGAGATGGGCTGGAAACTTTGGTTCAGGAGATGAGGCTTAGCAAGTCACTTGTCACCTAAAAGTAAAGGAACTTTGGAAAACCTCCATTGTCCATAAGTAAGTCCCTGCTTCTGGCACTGTGCTAGAGACCACTCACGTAGCCCACTAGTAAGTCATAGAAAATAACCAAAAATCCATTGTATGGAGTATGGATCACTGAAGAAGCCTTAAAACATGATGATCAGACATATTATGTAACCATCTCTAAATTCAAAATGAATCTTCAAGAAGCATTCATCCAAACATAAGCAGCCAACAGTCATTCATTCCTGGTTACTGTCAGAGTTGGTGCATAGAGAAAAACATCTCTCTTTGTGTCCCAGACACGCCTATTCTACTGAAAGGTTAACACAGCTCCATAATAGAAGAGGTGAAAGACAGTGTAATTTTCTAGCAAGAGAAGTTAGAGAAGAAAATTTTAACCAAGATCTGACTAAAACAATGTAAAATATCAACAATCATGTGTTAAATATCAGTCCAAACTAATAGACAGGAAGGGTTTTATGAATGGCCCTAGAGATGGGAGATGTCAGAGACGGGATGGAGCAGAGAGCTGGGAGAGAAGGAAGGGAAGAGCCCTAAACTGAAAGAACTGGGCTAGGAAACTCCTGGACTGATGCTGTACCGATGGATAGATGATCACATAGAATGTAGAGAGAAGAACGCCTGCGGTAGACACAAGGAAAAGCAAAGCCTGCACTTCAGGGGTGGCAGTGGAAAACGAATTGAAGACAGGAAGTCAGAGAGGTAGAGGAGAACTAAAGACAGAATTCCAAGGAAGACAAGTCAACAGCGACAAATAATTCAAAAAATTCCCAGGTAAGGACTGAAAAAGGAGCTATCTAGAGGCTATTGGGGGGCCGGCCCCATGGCTTAGTGGTTAAGTGCACGCGCTCCGCTACTGGCGGCCCGGGTTCGGAATCGACGCACTGCTTCTCCAGCCATGCTGAGGTCACGTCCCACATAGAGCAACTAGAAGGATGTGCAACTATGACGTGCAACTATCTACTGGGGCTTTGAGGGGGGGGGGGAGGATTGGCAATAGATGTTAGCTCAGAGCCGGTCTTCCTCAGCAAAAAGGGGAGGATTAGCATGGATGTTAGCTCAGGGCTGATCTTCCTCACAAAAAAAAAAAAAAAGAGAGAGAGAGAGGCTATTGGGAAGACACTGATGGGCTTTAACAGGAATGTTTAAGAGGTATGATGGGGTTAGACCACAAACGTGCAGAAATAGTTGTGGAATCTGCACTCATCTGGCTAAGCTCAAACCTGAAAGGACAAACCACAGACACTCTCCGTGTGGCTCAGTGTTTCTACAGACAAATCATATGCAGACCAGATGGCCCTCGAGGCTCATTATCATCAGTCACAAACAGGAACCACAGAATACCCAGCAATATGTCTACATTTCTCAAGCAACCATGCTCTCTACTTCCCCAGAATTACATTCCACTCATCACTCTCCCTACTTTCCCCAGCCACACGGAACAAATGACGGCTACACATATTCTTTCAACATGTTTTTCTTCACTGAACATTGTGTATGGCGATCTGTGCTTTCCGATACATTAATTTCTGGGTCATTTATGTTCACTGCTCTAAGATATTCTATTGTACGAACATACCATAATTTATTCTCCCTATTCTTCTATTAATGCACATCTAAGTTGTTTCTACTTCTTGCCATTGCCAACTATATTGCGATTAATGCCCTTATATTGCAATAATGCCCCATAAAGTGACTAATGTTCAAGTCTCCTTGAGCACAGCACATGAGTCTATAAGGGGATACATTTAAATAGAGAACTGCTGAATCTTAACCACATACTGCCAAATATTCCCAAATTAGTTGTACTAACAGTTTCATTAGCATTTTATCAGTAATGCTCTTCTTCCAGATACACCAATCCTAAGTATTGAAGAACTGTCAGTATTACTGGTGTTAACCTCGCTGTTGTTTTAATTGCATTTTCCTGACCTAAGAGTATCAAGCATCTTATCACTGCAAACCTATATAAGTCTTTAGGATTTATTTGTCAAGATCCATGAAAAATGTGTTTCAAATTTCAGTTGGAATTTAATTTCCCAGTCCCAGCATAAGTAATCAGCTGATCCCACAATCTTTATAATCATTGTTGTCACTATAGTAAGGAGCACCACAGCCACTTGATGTCTCAACATCTTGTCTTCTACTCACACTGCATGTTTTGCCTCCATCACTGATAATCTGATGCTACTTTGTGCTGATACCACTGTCCCATTTCCTCTCAGCATGTGCCTCTCAAAATGTGAGCAACCTTATTCCATAATTCCATTTGAAGATGTTTTTCCTAAAGTCACTTAGTTTCTGTATTAGTCAAGGGCCTAGCAGAAAACAAACGACACAGCCAAAACAGGGATTAAGGTACGTTTATTACAGGGACCATACAATGTACGGTCAGGGCTAAGAGAAACCAAGATAGGCTCGTGACCATCCCAGGGCTAGCAACTGTGGGGAGACGTTGCTTCCCCAAGACCTAAATGGCAAGGAGAAGAGTGATTCCCAAAATCCAGAGAAAGTAGCTATAGCTGAGGAAAGAAAGTCCAATAGGATCTGTGGCCTTTGGTAAGGGAATGCAGCCAGGCCTTGGCAATGGAGCTGAGAGGGAGCTGGGTGACTACTGCTGTTGCAGATCTACTCCTGTTGCATCCCATGGGAGAGATGCAAATGTTTGACAGAGGAAAAGACCCTTATTATGTCTCCATGCCACTCAGCCCCCTGAGATCCATTGGAGGTTGATAGAGTGAAGGATGGACCTCGAGAAGCAAGATAAAGTCCCCAGCAAATCCACATCCCATGTAATCAAATTTCTTTATCCTTCTAGAACATTGCATCTCCACTGGTACTCCAGAGACAGTCATCCACTGTTAATATTAACTTTATACAAAGAGCACATTCAAATAGACAAGGAAACATCATGGATCCAATGAACAAAAGGGCAAAAAAAATGACTTTTTCCACAAAAGAGGAGATTCACCTAGAATAGCAATGTAAAATGAAACAAGAATGGAGTCCATTTGTTGCCAAGGAAATGAAAATTTGAAGTCACTCAGAATACTGGAAGCAGTTAAGATGAAGAGGAAAACCATAAAAGGGAGGAGAGACAACAGATTAGTGAATATTAAGGAATAACATACAAGTTGGTAGGTGGGCATGTAGTGATATACCTGTATGTCACAAATCTTGAAGTAAAGCGTTGAGACAAGAAAGAACAATGGCTAGAAAAGTCAGTGGGAATAAAAGAAAGAGAAGGCCAGTTTCCTGCTTCCTAGTGTGAAGATGGGGGAATGAGGAGCTGCCCTTAAGAACAGATCAAGACTCATGCAGTCTTGGGGAGAATCTGTATTTCAGATAACAGAAGAAGGAAGAGGGAGAGTTCTAGGAATAAGGAGAGCCAACATTGGTCTTTCCTGGCAATAAATCAGAAATACCAAGATGAATTGTGGAAGGGGGGGTGGGAGTTATAAGAGATCAGTGAGGGACAGAGTTCAATTTGGTTGAAAGCATCGAGTAGGAGGACTGCCCTGGCGGGTCTTGGAGGTGTGGGAACGGGGAAATGGAGGAGGTAATATGAATTTGTCTCAGTCTTCTATGACTTACCTACACATGAGACCAATTCCCTAACTAACATCTGTTCAAATCTTCATGCAATGGGTTCTCCTCTGTGAAAATTAAAGCAGTATTAGTTAACTCTGTTCTCACATTATTCACTGCGTACATATCAATATCTACACCTGTATCTGTAGGGAATACAGTAAATGGCAGATATTCTATTACTGCATGCTTGAAGAATCTGCTCCACTAACCAGTTTCCTTGTAGACAGACACAACCACATATCTAGTCAGAAAGAAGAAATCAAATGTCCCCTAAGACTTGCAACATAACAGTGCTGACTAATCTTCACACCCTTCACAAGGAAGTACGGTTCGGGAAAACCAAGGCAATATTTCTTAACCAACCGATAAAGGTATTAGAAATAGCAGAGAGGTTCCTGAAAATGTAATTTCCTCTTCACTTTTATTGGGTGCCTGGATTCCTGGGACCAAAGATGCTGGTTGTATATTTAGAAATACCCAAAGACATAAGGTGGCAAGTACTCACTTGTAAAAAATCCTGAAAATTGCTGGGTCTTCTGTGACACTGTATGACATCAGGATGTCACAACCCTACCTATTAAATGCCACGAGCACTTTTCAGAAACAGAAAAAAAGTATGAAATAGTTTCTCAGTTGAACTAAGCCAAGCCCTCTTTAAATGGAAGCAAACTCCTGGTCCTTATCAATTAGTGCGTTTGCCTCAAACTCAACCTCTGCCTGACAAATCTTGGCAGCTTAGTCTCAGGAGGATTCAGTGCTAGTCAGAAGCTTTCGTCCATAGCTCTGTCCCCCTGAAGGCCATTATCCTACTTTGTCACCCTATTTCTTCTTCCACGCCCAGGCTGAGCTTCTCGGTTCTGTCCTATGGGATTTGGGTCCGTTTCTCTTTGAGCCCAAAGAAACTCATCCTGCTCCTGTTCCAGGAAACTCTGCTCTATCTAGAGACAGTGGTCTGTGATGCAGCCTTCACTGAGAAGCCCCTCTCCTCATGTTTGTAATTGTTCATCCTGCACCTTTTCCCTCGTCATTTCCTGGTATCTTTCTACTTACACCTTAGTCGATCAAAACTCTATTAGTCTACATCCCTCTCAGCCCATCCACTCTCAACTCAAGGAGCTTTTACATGACAATCCCATTCAGGGATCACTATGCATATATTGTTAGAGGAGACCTAAGAGCAGCATGGCTTGGGGATGGAGGATCAGGCAGGGAAAATCTTTCAGTTTTAGAAACACAGATTATCTTCTTCTTTCTGCCCGCTACCTCCATCCATCTGGGACCTTGCTGCAGGTGAATGTTCCTGTGAATTCTTGAAGTGCTGCGACTAGAGACCCTGCACACGGCTGATATTAAGACGGATGAACAACAATAACAAGTGCTGGAGAGGTGTAGAGAAATCAGAACTCTTATACATGTTCCCGCCATATTTTGGTGGGAATGTAAAACAGTCTGGCAATATATCCACACAGATGGAATCTAAAAAAAATAATAACAATAAAACTTTTAAAATAAATAAAATTTTTAAAAATTGAACTTAGAGAAACAGAGAATAGATTAAGGTCTGCCAGAGTTAGGGGATAGGGGGTGGGTGAAACAGGTAAAGGTGCAAACTCCCAGTCATAAGACAAACAAGATCTCGGAGGTAATGTGCAGCACAATGACTATAGTTAACCCATACTGTATTGTTTATTTGAAAGTTGTTAAGAGAGTAGATCTTAAAGTTTTCATTAAAAGAAAAAATTTGAACTATGTGTCGCGATGGATGTTAACTAAACTTACTGTGGTAATCATTTCTCAAAATATACATATCTCAAATCATTATGTTGTACACCTTAAGCTAACACAATGTTATATGTCTATTACATCTCAATTTAGAAAATAAAAATAAGCAAAAGAAATTTGTACACATGAGTTCATATCAGCATTATTCACATATCCAAAAATAGGATGCCGCTAAAGTGTCAATTGATTCGTGAGTGGATAAAACAATGTGTTACATCATACAAAAGAATATTATTTAGCCATATAAAGAAATGAAGCACCGATACATGCTACAACAGGAGTGAACCTTGAAAATATTACGCGAAGTGCAAGGACCCTGATAGAAAATGCCACACACTGTGCAATTCCACTTATAGGAAAGGTACAGAGAGCCAAGAAGTAGATGAATGGTTTTCAGGGACTGGGGTGAGGGGAGAACTATGGAGGGGGTTTCTTTTGGGAGCTATGAATTGTTCTGGAACTAGATCATGGAGACAGTTGCACAACCTTGTCAATGTACTAAAAATTAATGACTGGTACATTTTAAAAAGGTGAATCTTATGGTACATGAATTATTTCTCAAGTAGAAAGTCAGTCCCAGTACACACACTCCTCCCCTTGAGGTAGGGGACATATGGGGCTAGATGCCCTGGGACAACAGCCCTCTCCCCGGCCACAGCCAGGCCTCAGGGGATAGTGCACTCTGGGGAAAAACACTTCTTCTGTCTGCCTCCTTTCCCTCTCAGAGTTGCTGATTTATGAAATCCCAGCTTGATAGAGCTGTTTGGGGGAATGGAGGGTTGGACATGATTTCAGGCTCTCTCTGAGCCCCATGCTCAGAAGAAATCACCCCAATTCCATCCCCACTTACTGTGCTTGGTTGTCTCAGGATGGAACCCTAAGATGGTATCTGAAAGGCCAGCCTTCTCTCCTGGTGACTGAGGGGACCACAGAGGAGAGTTTGGGGCTTAGTATTTGACCCACTCATGCCCCTTCGGATTCTGTGGGATTGAAACTGAGGATGAAGGATTTAAAATTTCCCTGGATTAGGCTGAATCCTAATCCTGAATCCCTGAATTAGGTGCCTTGTGCCCTAAAGTTAACATGGGAAACATAATAACCAAAGTTTCTGAGTCTGCCTTGAAGAACAGCAGGACGACCACTGATAAGAGAGGTACTTGCTGACAGCCCCCCACCTGACTTAGCATCTTGTAGGAGCGTTGAGAAGCCAAAATGACTGATTGTAAACTTTAGATGTCACAGACTAAAAATCCACCGCATGCAACACGGAGAACACACAGTCACCCCTGTGCGGAGGACACTTAGAACTTCAGCCCCCAAGGCCACATGCTCCCCCGCCCCTACCTAAGATCCCAAGTAAAAACCCTTGCTTGCAGCTTTCCAGGGAGTTTGGGATTACAGCATTGGCTGAACATTCTCCTTGCTCAGCGCTTTGTAATAGAATTCCTACTTTCTGGCAATATACCCGGGGTCAGAGACTAGTTCGCTGTGCAATAGGTGAGCAAACTTACTTCAAGTTCGGTAACTGGAGGACCTTATCTCTTCCTAGAATGCAGAAGAAAAAGGTTTTTGCATTTAAGCATAAGGAGGTATGTCTTGTTAAACCAAGTGTCTCTCTAACACAGTCTGGGTAGTGGATACACATGCAGGGTCCTGAGCCAGACTATCTGCCTGGATATCTCACTGTGCAATTCCCTACCCCTAGTTACCTGGGCTTCTGTTCAACTGCTCTGTATATTTCTGTCATCTGTGAAATGGGGACAACAAAGGGACCTGCCTCAGTGAGTTGTTAAAGATGTAAATGAACAAATATATATCCCTGCTCAAAGTAGGTATGCACATGAATACAATAGAACAGCATGCACATGAATACAATAAGCCTCCATTGATAAGAAATATAACCACTGGGCGGGCCCGGTGGCTTAGCGGTTAAGTGCACGCACTCCGCTGCTGGCAGCCCGGGTTCGGATCCCGGGTGCGCACCAACCCACCGATTCTCCGGCCATGCTGAGGCCACATCCCACATACAGCAACTAGAAGGATGTGCACCTATGACATGCAACTATCTACTGGGGGGCTTTGGGGAAGAAAGAAAAAGGAGAAGGATTGGCAATAGATCTTAGCTCAGAGCCTGTCTTCCTCACCAAAAAAGAGAAGTATTCAGCATGGATTTTAGCTCAGGGCTGATCTTCCTCACAAAAAAAAAAAAAAAAAAAAAAACAAAGAACACCTTGTTCTCATTTTTTCTAATACGCATTTGAGCCAGATGTTCATTCACGAATCTGGGTGTGATGTGCTAAAGGGCAGAGTGACAAAGAAATGTTATGATTCTGGAGCTCCAACAATTTATTTCTATCTCATATTAATACAAAATTTAGACTACTACCATGCAAAATGGCCCCTGGTTGTATCATTGTTCTTCTCTTGTGAGCATGTTCACACTGCAAGGTAAATCAGCTTCCCACTGACCTTAAAACAACAGGCAAAATCGGGGACTGGTTGCAAGGGGGCAGGGGAGGTAACAAGGAGGACCTCTGTCAAGGGACAGCCTTTAGGGGAAGGCGATAGATTTGTCTTCTCCAAGTCCTGCTGGAACACCTCGTCAGTATCTCTCTACACTGAGAATTTGGGCTATTTTCCTGTTTATACAGGATAATTACTACAGAAATTGACAGGTGGAACAGCCCTTTTAAAACATTCAATAGAAAATGTAAGTTTTGCCATTGGTTCGACTTAGGCCTTAAAGACAATTCAACATCCAAGAGAAGTAAAAGGGTTATTTTAGGAGTTATTTCTGGGTGACTGTAGTTCAGAGCATGTGAGAAAGTGGGTTTTCACATTTATTCTCAATGGTACTGGAAAGGCACATACACGCATTTCATATGAGCCAGTGATTGCAGAACTACAATTTTTTCTGCAGGTGAAAAGGAAGTGCAGTAATAGAACAATAAGCATGTTTTTGTTCTCATAAATATTTCATGTTCCTGAAGGTGACGTTTAGCCTGATTAAGAAATCAAAAGTTGATTCACTTGAAATACTAACCACACTGAGCAATGGGAGGTGGGGAGAGAGAGGTATATATTCAGGATCTCAGCATTCACCTCAC